CCTGCTGTGTTCATCCAACTCTACACCTTGTTATTTTAAATCAGGTAGCATTGATTCTATGATATTATTCAAAGAAAAGTCATCCTGGTCTCCAGGGCAATGTTAGTTCTTTGCTTTCAGCTTTCATTGCTCTTTATGGGACCTTGCTGTATGTAAATTGGCTACAGAGTGCTTTGAGACTTCCTTAGGTTCTGAATGGTGATTTATACATGCAAGTTAATTCAAACAAGTATTGCTTAACACTTGGGCTGTGGAACAAAAAAATCTTCAAACTTAAGGATAAAAAGAACACTTTATCTGAGGTGTTCTTAGAAAATACTTCTCTTGAAAAATGTACAATTCCAACTTCTAAAGGAAAATACAATGTCATTTTCATTTCTATTTTAGATTCCTGGCTTCCAAGCACCACAGGGCATTGCAGTTGACTGGGTTGCTGAGAATATCTATTGGACTGATTCTTTCCGAAATGTCATCTATGTGGCTAAGATTAATGGACAAAAGTACAAACGACTTGTATCTGGGATGATGGACAAACCCTGTGCAATTGCTCTTGATCCCAACAGAGGGTACAGTGCTATATCTTCTGTCTTTTTAAGGGCTGTTCAATCTCTATTCAGAAAATCAAGATGCACACTTCCCAGAGAATAGCCAATATGAGCTGACTGTCAATGCAGCAAATTGTACTAAATTTAACCATTCTGAAACACTAAATAATTTATAATGACAAATGCTAGAAATCTGAAATAATCCAGAAAATGGTGGAAATATGTAAATGGTCAGGTAGCATCTGAAACAGAAAGGAAATACAATATTTGGTGCAGCTTGAAAGTAAAAAGTTAACTTGCCTTTTTTTTCAATAGCAGATGCATTTTTTTGTCATTTTTCAGTTTATTTCTTTCAAAAGTGTCCTCACTTTCAGGCAAAATGTTGGTATTGAATTCTGTTTAGACCAATAGTTGTCATTTCATTTGAATGCAATTGGTTATAACAAAAGAATGACTGGTTTGCCATACAAGAGTTTACTTTAAGTGTTAAAAATTATGAAGGTTTCTTTCATTCCAAGCAACATTAACTGGATCTTGCATAAATTCTGTCAACCATGCTATCTTAGACTGAGAACAAATGGCTTTAAATAGTTGTCGTATGGGGTTAGGGGAAAAAGGGAACAAGGATGTGTGAAGTTATTCTGATACAAGATTGAAAACAGTACGCTTTCTTTTCTATCTGTTTTGCTTTGCACTTAATTTTTGTCAAATTTTCAAATTATATAATTTGGAGTTGCTTGTAATTTCTAAAATAGATGCCTACAGGCAGAGCTGATCTGCTGATTATAGGCAAACCTCACAGAGTGGGGTAAGTAGGCTCCAGCTAGCCACTGAATGTGTGGAGTCAGCTGGCTAGAAGACAGTGTTTCAGGGTGGTTCACAGAAGAAGAAACAGGCTGCACAGTTTCTTGGGCGTTATACTAAGTGTCAAGATCCAGAGAAGGAGGCATGACCTATACTGCAATGGGAAGGCAGTTCACCTCTTCCTCCTGACCCTCTTCCTTATAGAAGCTGGTGATGCTTTACCGAATTGATTATTTGAAATAGCAGCCTTTGTGTGTTTAATTGATTAGATTATATACCAGGAGACTTTCTTGCTCAACGGATTGGTATCAAAACTAAGAAAATAACAGTCATCAATGTCCAATTTGCCAACTAAGTTCAATTTCAAAGTTCACTTGTGAAAGGCAACAAAGAGTTACAATGGTTATTTTGTTCTATTTATGTTAAATGCATTGTTTTGATGCATTTATTTGTAATGGTTTCAGAATGATGTACTGGACAGACTATGGTAAACAGCCCAAAATAGAGCAATCTGCCATGGATGGAACTTTGCGAAGAATTCTCATACATAAGGACCTACAATGGCCTACAGGTAGTATAAATGTCTGCAATGTCAGAATGAACCGATTTGTATTCTTATTTTAAAGATAAAATCAGAAATTTTGACTTGGGTATATCTATAAAAGGATGCAGAGATCTGCCTACCTGAAGCAATCAGGAAAAGTTTTGATAAATCTTTGTGACAGAGCGTTGAATAAATAAGCTTCTGGTTTGAATTGCAATGCTGAATGGGAGCATGGGAAAATATAATGGTACCATATCAAGATATTAAAGGGAAGGGGTATAGAGTGTTGTCAATCAGAATCCACTCACCAACTAAACAACGTTCTCTTCTCATTCAGCATTAATGCTTTTCTCTTTTATTTTGGAACTTCTTGTGAATCGTCCTGATGACTACAGGACAAAAAAATTGTCAACAAAATGTATCATTTTTCAGCAATGCTCAAGTTGTGTACTAGCAAACGACGAATTATATAGGAAAAATCTCCTCAAGTTAGCTCTGAGTTGTGGTGACAATATTGGTCACTCTTTGATTTTTTTTCTACTTAATTATTTATCAAAATGTTTACTCATTTATCCTTAATAGTCCCAATCGTTTTCAGAGTAAGAATTATAATATATAATCTCATCTTATGATACTCGAGCAAGGATAACAGAGGATGGAAGGAGAGATGGAACCTTTCATTTCATTGCACTGGAGAATTGTCTCCTTCAGCTATTCCCCATGCGGTCATTTTTGTAGATGCTGGCACAAATACCTTGGAATATCTGATGAAATTTATCTTTACACTGTCTAGTTCAGCAAGGAGGCAGAGGTAATGTGTTATTTGATCTGCAAACAACCTCTATCACAAAGATAGCACAGCCAGTAATAGTCATGTTCATCATACCTCTGCGTTTTTAACTACCTCAAATTCAGTTCAAGATTTCACAAGGGACATCTCTGACATCAAACAATGCATAGATATCTTGTTCACTGGGTGAAAAAGCAATATTTTTTTCTCCAGACATTTAGCAGCAGAATGAAAATATCCTTCAAATCACAGGATTCTGCAAAGTCAAGAACATTATCGGTGATACAAGATGTGCGTCAACACCCTAACAAACCAATTAAGGCTTTCACGACCCATATAGGGTTTTGCTTTAATTGTGGCCACATGCCAATAATCAGCGAATGGACCATCATGGTTTATTCCCATTTGGTCATGTCATTTTAACCTTAAGGCAATTCTCTGTATCTAAGCTATTAGAAAGAGAAGGCAAACAACTTTGATTGTTTTTTAGAAAGCAAAGCTTTTCTCTTCTTCAGTCTAATTCATTCATCGAGGGTATGAATCACTGGTAAATTTATTGTCCATTCCTAGTTTAGCATAATGCAATGATTATGAAAGAGGTAATGTTGAAGCTGCATTAAAACCTAATGATGCCACACAGTCTTTGGGTAGAGCATAAGCCACCTAGGATAATGTTCGATTGGAGACAAGTATATCAATTCTCAAGAACTCCTCCAAAGATGCCCTGGGACTGAGATCATTAACCTTCAACAACTGTGATTGTCGTCCATTGTGCCAGGCATGACTCCAACCAGCAGAATATTTCTCCCTAATTCCCATTAATTCCAGTTTCACTGGGACTTCTTGACGTCACACTCCCATCAATTGTTGCCTTGACGTCAAGGGCAGTCACTCTTCCCTCACCTACATTTTTGGATTAAGACTGTGATGATATCAGGAGCTGAGTGACCCCTCGTGGAACCCACACTGAGCATCAGTGAGCAGGTTATTGCTGAGCAAGTGCCACTTAATAGTGTTGCTCATGACCCATTACATCAACTTGCTGATGACTGATGAGAGTAGAATAGTAGGGTAGTAATTGGCTGAGTTAGGTTTTCCTGCTTTTTTGTGCACAGGATGTACCTGGGATGTTTGCCTCATTACTGGGCAGAAGCCAGTGGCATGGCTGCCCTGAACTAATTTAGCTGGGGCTGTCACTAGTTCTGGAACACAAGTCTTCATTGCCAGAATGTTGTCAGGACCCATAGTGACTGCAGTACCCTGTGCCTTTGGCCATGTTTTGATATCACTTGGAATAACTAAAATTATCTGGTTGGCATCTAGGATGCTAGTGATTTTAGGAGGAGGTCAAGATGAATCATCCATTTGAATGAAAAATCTTGCATAAGCTTTGGCCTTGTTTTTTGCAATGATGTTCTGGGCTTCCCAACCATTGAGGAGGTAGATACTTGTAGAACATTCTGCTTCTTCAGTTGTTTAACTTTCTGCCATCATTCATGGCTGAGTTGAAAGTATTGTGAACCTGAGAATTTATCCATTGATTGTGGGATTATATACTCCATATATCTAAATTTCCTTTCACTGTTTGGCATGCAATTAGTCACATGGTATACTTTTGCCAGGTTAGTATCTCATTTCTTGACATGCCAGGTACTGCTCCCATCCTGCACATTCCATTGAAGTCAGGTTGACAGTAGAATTGAGTATATGCCATGCCATGGAGTTAACAATTGTTGTTCAATACAGATCTGCTGCAGCTGACAGCACATACTATTTCATGGATGTCCAGTTTCAACCTAATAGATCTGTTTGAGGTCTATCTCATTTAGCACTGTGGTACTGAGGGTAGAGAAACATTTTGTGTGTTAACGTGAATTCGGACTCATGTGAATTGCAGCAACATGTATTTCACATAATTGATTCAAAAGGGAATTTTGCACCCCTAGCTTAGTATTTTTATTCCTAAGATGCTGTTTGGCATGATTAGTCTTTAAGGAGATTCTGCTTTTGTCAAGATAAGCCCTTATGTTTGATATTTCAGATGATGAGGACAATTATGGGATATTGTTAAAGGTAACAAAGTGTGGAGGTGGAGGAACACAGCAGGTCAGGCAGCATCAGAGGAACAGGAAAGCTGACGTTTCGGGTCAGGACCTTTCTTCAGAAAATTTTGTTCCTCTGATGCTGCCTGGCCTGCTGTGTTCCTCCACTCCACACTTCTGACTCCAGCATCTGCAGCTCTTGCTATCTCTATGGCATACTGTTAGTATTTTGCACACAATACTTGCTGTGTTCATTACTGTATGAACATCCTAATCACACAGTGTCATTCTTCATATACACATTATCCCTGTTCTTCCATCTACTGTGTGACATCATGCGATAGTATCTTAACAGTTCCTTCCTAGGCATCACCATCCAGACTACCATTTGATGTTGTGTTACCAACCAAGCCATAAATGATTGGTGCAAAAAAACCTCAGAAGACAGAATTGTTAAAGACATGTGATTGTTATACATTAAAAAATCATAAACATTAGAGGACAAAAGTCCTCTAGGTTTCCAAAGTGTTCAATTTGTTCTGCCTCTTTAACATTGTTCCAAACCTGAAAGCCCAGGAAATGCTGAGTCCTGTCTCAGCATCTTCCACTAAGGGTGGCACGGTGGCTCAGTGGTTAGCACTGCTGCCTCACAGTGCCAGGGACCCAGATTTGATTCTATCCTCGGGTGACTGTCTGTGTGGAGTTTGCATATTTTCCCTGTGTCTGTGTGGGTTTTTTTCAGGTGCTCAGGTTTCCTCCCAAGTCCAAAGATGTGCAGGTTAGGTGGATTGGCCATGCTAAATTGCCCAAAGTGTCCAGGGATGTGTAGTTTAGATGGGTTATAGGGGGATGGGTCTGGGTGGGATGCTCTGTGGGTCAATGTGGACTTGTTGCACCTGTTTCCACACTGTTGGGATTCTATCCTATTCTAAGCACTAAGTGGCATGCCCACTACAGCCCATAATTCATACACCCCAATTAAGAGAAAGCACTTTAAAATTCCTCAAACTTTATTGGTTATAGTATGTTGCATCAATATTTTCCCTGTCAGTGCCAAGAGAGGAAGTCAAACTCTGGCAGATTTTTAGGTCCGTTAGTTTCACTCAAATATCTGACAGAACACTGATAATCATGATTAAATACAGATTTTATGGAGAAAATACTTTGTGCCTTTAAAACACATACATTTAAAAAATTGTATATGTCTTTTTTTCAGTCATACATCTGCTGGTATGTCTTCAAAATGAAGTGTACTGAAATTTTTTTTTCTGTTTCTGTGTTAATCTTATGCAGAAAGAAAATAAGTCACATAAATTTGTAAACAAACTTTGGAGAGTCTAATTAATAAGAAAATGATAGAAAATATGTTTACAGAAAGAAAAATAATGTTATTTCTATAATTGTAATACTCACTTCTAAATTCTATATTGTTTTTCCTTCTTAGGACTGGCCCTTGATCATTTCAATCAACGTTTATACTGGGCAGATGCCAAGCTTTCAATTGTTGGCAGTGTCCGGTTTGATGGCAGTAATTCTGTTGTTGTTGCCAGCATTAAACAAGGTAGCACACATTTTGTTTTCTTAGCTCTTTAATTTTTTTGACTTTAACAGAGAAAATAAAAACTGTTAGGCAACTTAGTAATGCCCTTTTCTATGTTAGTAAGGATTTAAGAATATATTTTTTGTTTGGAGGTATCCTAAGTCCATTCAGTATTGATGTCTTTGAAGATTATATTTATGGAGTGACGCACACCAATAGTCGTGTTTTTAAAGTTCACAAATTTGGATACACTCATCTTGAATACTTGGTGTCAGGCCTCAATGATGCCTCAGCTACAGTGGTGTTCCATCAGTATAAACAGCAAGACTGTGAGTAACAGCTTAATGAAACAAAATTCAGTGTGAATAGAGTATAAAATGATGCCTTGAATCATGAATGCTGTCAGTAACATGCACTTTCTTTCTGTTCCACAGTGCCAAATCCTTGCAATAAAAGGAACTGCGACTGGCTTTGTTTGCTGAACCCTACTGGTGTAACATGTTTGTGTCCAGATGGAAAGAACATGATTAATGGAACATGCGTTGATTGGGACTCTCCTACAGCACTACCTTATGGTGAGTAACTCTGTATTTCCCAATATTGATCATTCCAGATTTAAAAAACTCTCAAAATACCAAGCATTTCTCATTATAAAATTAAAGGCTTTAAAATGGTATGAATTATGAATATTTCAGTGTTTTGTTAAACTTTTAGCATAATTTCTTCCTCCCATCACTCTAAGAAAGACATGTAAGTATGTATATCAGAATATTTTTCGCTTTGTCACCTACTAGCGTCAACATCGTGCTCTTATAATCAGTTCCATCCCTGACAGATGTATATGAAAACCATACTCTGAAAATATCTAAAAGGGGCATTGTTATTCAAGAAATATCTTTGATCATTTTTACTTATTTTGAAAGCATGAATTACAATGATACAATTCTCATCATCTATTTCAATTTTTCCAACTTGTTATTTTTGTAGTAGATGGCATTACCTGTTTAGTGCTAATCAATTTCAAACTGTTGAATTTGGTTCTGTGAATCCCTGTTTAATAAAAGTTGACCTGATAAGACCTGAACTAATTTCATACACATGATGGAGGTATCACTGGTTAGGACAGCATTTGTTGCCCATTCCCAATTGTTCTTGAGAGGGCAGTGGTAAGCACCTTTCTTAAACCATGGCAGTTCATACGATTTAGGTATACCACAGTACTTTCAGGGAGGGAGTTCCAGAATTTGGCCCAGTAACAATGAAGGAACGGTAATATAGTTCCAAGTCAGTATGGTTTGTGGCTTAGAGCCAAACTTGCAGGTTGTCATTTCCCTATGTGTATGCTGCTCTTGTTCTTCTAGGGGTCTATGGGCTTGGAATGTATTGTCGAAGGAGCCTTGCTGAGTTGTTGTAGTGCATCTTGTAGATGGTACACAAGGATATATTGTGCTTTAGTGGCAGAAAGAATAAAAGTTGAAGATGTTAGCTTGGGTCCCAATCAAGCATACTGCTTTGACCTTGATGATATAAGGTTTCTTGAGTGTTTTTGGAGCTGTACCCATCTAGGTAAATGAAAAGTATTTCATCGCAATCTTGAGTTGTGCCATGTAGAATATGTACAGGCTTTCACTAATCAAGTTACTCATTTTTGAATTCCCAGCCTCTGACCTGTTTTTGTAGTCACAATATATATATGGTTAATCCATTTTGGTTACTGGTCAATGGGAACTACCAGGATGTTGATAGTGGAGGATTCACCAATGACAATAATGCCAATGAATGTCAATGGGCATCATTTGGATGTCCTCTTGTTGAAGATTGTCATTGCTACCCAAAGCTTTCTAAGGCATGATTTGAGATTTCTCACCATTTTGTTATGTAAACAATTGGTAAGCAAATAGAAGCAAATTGCTTTCATCCCTCAGTTTCACTTCTTTATTTAAGTTGCCTCATTTCTCTCGTCATTTTTAACGTAAATGTGTTCAAAACATTTATTTGTGTTCTCCCTAATTGTGCTTACAAGCCTTTTATTCATTTTTCACACTAAACTTTAATCATTTTACTGTTAATGTCATGTATTTTAACAAACAGAGGGTAGGTATAGATCGGCATTTCTCAGACTGGAGACAAGTTGAAAGTGGTGTTCCCCAGGTGTTGGGTCTCTTTCTTTTTCTGACTTATATAAGCAATTTGGAGATGGATCTTGAGGGCAGAATCTCTAAATTTGCAGATGGTAGTTACCAATCTCGGGAGAATAATGAATTCTGAGGATGACACTGAGCAACTTCAGACAGTCTTTTACAAGTTGGCAAAATGGGCAGATACCTGGCACATGAATTTCAATGCAGAAAAATGTGAGGTGATGCATTTTGATAGAAGAAACAAAGAGAGATGATCCAGGCTCAATGGTGCAACTTTTAAATGATGACAGACAGAGTGCCCTCGGGATTCATGCCCATAATTCTCTTAAGGTGGCCACGCAAGTTGTAACAGTAGAAGCATAGAATACCTACATTGTGGAAGCAAGCCATTCAGCTCATTTAGTCTACATCGATCCTCCGAAACGCATCCCACCCAGACCCACTCCATCCTTGAAACCCTGCATTTCCTATGGCTAACCCACTAGCTTGCACATCACTGGACAGTGTGGCCAATGTAGCATGACATAGTCATCTAACCTGCACATCTTTGGACTGTGGGAGGAAACTGGAGCACCTGGAGGAAACCCACACAGACACGGGGAGACTGCTGAAGTTCCACACAGACAGTGGAACTGAACCCAAGTTCCTGGCATTGTGAGGTAACAGTGCTAACCACTGAGCCACGGTGCCACCCCAAGTAAAGAAAGCTTATAGGGACTTTGGGTTTATACATAGAGGCATAGAGTATAAAAGCAAGGAAGTGATGCTACACCTCTTCAAATCATTAGTCAGATCACATTTGGAGTATTCTGTTCTGTTCTGGGCGTCTTAATTAAGGAAGAATTTTAAAGCCCTGGAGAGATTTCAAAGAACATTTTTAGAATTATACTGTGAATGAGGAATTTTAAACGCAAGGAAAGGTTCAAGAAATTAGTCTTATTGTCCTTGGAGCAGAGAACATTAAGAGGTGACCTTATTGAGGTGTTCAAAATTATGAACAGTTTTGACAGGGCAAAGAAGGATATTCTGTTTCCACTGGTTGGTACATCAGTAAGTAGGAGGGTCACAATTTAAAGATTGTCAGCAAGAGAGATAGGAGTGAGGTGAAGAGAAATTTCCTGACTGAGAGAGTTGTTAGGATTTTGGAATGCCCTGCTTGGGACACTAGTTAAGGTAGATGCCATAGGGGGCTTCAAAACAGCGCTGGATATAAATTTGAAATGATGAATTTAGAGGGCTATGGAGATTGGGCTTGAGAATGTGACTGGCGGGGTAGGTCTTGCAGAAGTTGGTACATGCAAAATGGGCAAAATGGTCTCCTTCTGAACTGTAAAATTCTATGATCTATGAATCTTATACTATTTTCCTATTTTCTTGAGCCTTACATTTTTATTTGCCATTATTTTTCCTTCAGTTTAATTTGTTATGTTACTTGGTCTTACAACACAAAATAACTTCATATACAGTATTAAAACATTCACATTTTGGTCAGTATTTATTTCTGTAATGTCATTCTGATTTTTGGCTTTTTAATTTTTTCTTCATTCATATTAGTTTAAATTTGGTTATTTATGGCATATTACACTGACCTTTGTCATCTGTCAGTTGTTCCAATAACAGACTTAATGCCAATGAACGTTGCTGAGATTTTAACACACTCATTGTTATGTTCTCAATCAAACATTTTTGCTCATTTCTACAACGAAAGGGGTATATTTTTGTTGTAATCATCTCGGCATTAACCATCATCTGGAAGAAAAAGAGGAAATTTTGAATCATCCCACCTTATTTTACATTAATTTAAATGAGTGTATAATTAGGTGGATTGTATTGTTGTTGTGTAACGTTCTGTGCCCAATCTTGATTGCTCTGCTCACTCCAGGCAATGTTCAGCACCTAGGTAAAACTGTCCTGAAAAATTCTGAGGAAAGCTTGAATTTTCTTTAAGCCTTACACTTTCTTTGAGTCCTATGAGATTTTTTTGTGCCCTAAGCCCACAGGTTTTTAAAGTTTCTGCTCAGCCTTCATGGGTGAGAGATCAGAAACATGGTCTGAAATAAAACTATATCCTGGATTTTGCAGTGGTAATGACAGTGAAGCTGTGAGCATCTGCATTCATTGCTACTCTGAAACTGACAGTAACTTCAGGAGTCTACACAGGAACAATCGAGTGTTCGGTGATTCCATGCTTCTGCACACAGTACACAGTTGAAATCCTTCCACAACACAATCATTTAGAAAAGATTGGACTAATGAGAATTTTCCCATTTATTCTATCATATCATAGTAGAAAATTCCCCCAGAAATTTATAGCTCGTTCAGACATAATTGGATTTCAGCATAGTAATTCCACCGTTCTGAAAAATATTCCAAATTTTTCAACATTTATATTTTTAAAATTTTGTTTTTGAACATTCCAGCTTGTAATGTATATGCCCTAATCAGTTATTTCACTCTTTGTGAAATTAACGTACAAAATAAAAAGATCATCAGTATATTTTACTACCTGGTTTGCTGTGTGTGAGAATACTTCCATGTAAATGACAACTTACAGTTTAGTCTGCTTGATTACACCACTGTTGCTAGATACCTTACGATAGCTTAGCTAGACTCAAATTAACATGGAAAAAGTTGTTGTTTATGCCAAAGAAATTAACACATCTTTGTTGGTAGCTTTCTTCAAGGGCAGCACAATCATTGTTGCTTTGCTACTGATTGCAAAGCACAGGCCTCATTTTTTTTCTAGGGTACTCTGCTTGCAGTCCCTAACTGTTACTCCTTTAAAATGTTTCACTTTTTGTTGGCTGAAAATACATAGGAACAGTCTACTTTGTTTTTTTGTGTTTGAGCATCTAATTTATATTGGTTCCTCAGCCAACTTTAAGAAGGCAAGTAACTTGGTGAAAATTGTGACTGATTTAACTTCGACTTTGATTCCAGAATTTGAAGGCATAAATTTACAAACAAATGCCTAATAATAAAAAAAAAGGTCTGGCTGGAGAGGTCCAAGAGCACAATTAATAAGTTCCCATAAATTAGTCAATCAGTGAAGCAAACAATTTTGTTCTTTAGATCAAAATATACTGTATGTATTCCAAATAAAAATACAATAGGCTATTAAAACAATTGGCATCATTTCGTCAATCACTTTTCTCCTCAGTTGCTTGGAAAATAATTTCCAAGCCTGAATTTTTTAAGCACAGATATGTCTGTTGAATCATAGAAGAACTACAAATTGAAATAAAGTCAGGTCTACACACATATGAATACAACTTGTTATCAAGTTATCTTCCAGATAGCTACAGGAGTTTCTGGGAATAATTCAGGAGACACAGCAAAAATTCACCCCAAGGAAAAAGGAGCATGGTACAGGGACGATGAGGCAATCATGGCGGACTAGGGAATTCAGGGATAGCATAAATGCACAAGAGACA